AGCCCAGGGAATGGGACCCACAGTCCAGCCAGAGCAAAGTTGGGGCTTAGGGACCCTGCACGGCCCAGCCACTCCTCCCAGCCTGGCCAGGCAGTGTGGCGAATCCGGGCCTCTGCTCCCTCCCCCATCAGCACCATCCCAGGGGGCTGCATGTGGAGGGTGGATTTCTCCACCAGCAAAGGCAGTGATGTCAAGAGGCAAGAGGGAAGAAGGATGAGCTGGAAAGAAAGGGGAGGGGGACAGAAGGGAGGAGGCAGACATGCAGAGACATTCCAAGTGCTCAGAGGCTGTTCCCGGGACACGGACCTCCTCTCCCTTCTTTTGGCCCAAAAGCAGCTGGGCTCACCACTGTGCCAGGCTTTGAAGCTACTGCTTCTCCAAACCTTCCCCTCCCGCTCCTCCTAGGGGGCAGTGAGGATGGAGGCCCACCTCAGTCCTCCACAGCAGCACCTTCTACCCACACCTCTGTTGGAGAAATGGCAGAGGGCGAAGGAGATGCTGGGAGGAGAGACCACCACAGGTCTAAAATCTGTCCCAATGTGCTGTCAAGAGTGATGCTTCAAAGACAAAGTCTCCTGGAGATGATAGGATGGGGGTGCAAATCCCAAATGCCATAGTTTGTGGCTTATATTCTGCCAACCCCATCTCCATATCCAACAAGACGTGGGTTTCAGCTCACTCTCCAAATGACCACCAAACCTTGTGAAAGCACATGTCCCATGTCCAGGGATGTGTCCACCTATCTTGGCTCCCTGTCCCCTGCAGGATGCTGTGTATGAAAAGACAGACATCCTTCCAGGTGTCTCCTTTGAGCAACTCTGCTGGATAAATTCTCCGTCCATTCTCTTCCTCTCCTCTCATGCCTCCTTCCCTCCATCCTTCCTTCTTCCCTTCTTTCCTAAGAGGAAGAGATAGCACAGCATGGTGGTCTCCCATCGACTCTGTATCTGAGGGACCCTGGAGAAACCCTCCAGTTCCCCTCTCACACCCCAGCCCAGAAAACTGAGACTCAAGGAGGCCAAGTGACTTACTCAAGGTCACAGGGGAGTTTGCAGGAGAGCTAGTCTGAAAACCCAAGCCTCCTGACTCCCAGTCCAGGGCTCGTTCAGGCCTGGGTCTCAGATGCTCCTGCTGGTAATGTCCAAAGGGCCCAATTCTGGGACCAGAGAGATCTGCAGCCCAGGTGGAGAGTGGCCTCCAGTGTCCCGAGACTTTCCTCAGAGGATGGGGACAGGGCAAGCTGAGGTTGTGGGAATGGGGAGAAGCAGGAAAAACAGGTTAATAGTGGGAAATTGGGGTGGGGGGGAAGGATAGCAAGTGAAAGGCTTACCCCAGTCTGCTGACGAGTGCAAATTATATTTATATATGTGCTAAATACAGTCACTATATTGGAGTTTTTCACTAGATCACAGCATACAGAATCAAAGGTTTGCATTTCGTATGGAATGTATCCAAAGAGGCCAGCACCACAGTAGGACAGCTTGCAATCACACACCCTGATAGTTTGGACGAAATAAAGTTCGCGGAATTTTATTTAAATTTTTTTTGTATTCGTAGTTGTTTGTCATCGTACCAATGCATGCAAAGCATTCCACTCCCAGAAACAACGCCAAAATGAGGTAATAGGAGTAATAAAAAAAATTAGTATCCTTTCTAAATAAATAAATTATAATTAAAAATGCAAAACAACTATAAAAATAATTAAATAAGAACCCACGATATCTACAAGTTAGTCATAAATTATGATTGTTAAATATAAGGCATTTAAACTCACAAAACCCTGTAAACTAGCAACGTGCCATGTTTTTTGTTTTTTGTGGTTTTTTTTTCATTTTTTGTTTTTCTATCAGCTGAAATCGCTCTAGCATTTGCTCTACGCGCGCGCAGGAGATGAAACACGAGGGGAGGACCTGACAGACGTTGCTACAGCCCCACGCGGGGAGTGTCTGTCCCGCCGGCAGGCGGGGGCTTGGGGGATTTCTTTAGGGGGAAAAAAAAACAAAATCTGGTGCTTTTTCTTCACCATTGAAAAAACTGTGCTTGTTCATTAGGCGTAAAGAGTTAAGAATACTTGCACGGAGGCTGGAAACGTTT